GCAACAACATGATTTCCAAATAGTCCCGTTTGCGCCTCCTCACTCACTCTCAAGTTCTATTCACTGAGAAGCTTGCCCATTGGGCAGCTGCATCTGCTGCTTGTTGGGGCGTTGCTTTTGCAGCAACAGCTGCTTCAGCTGCTGCGTCTGCAGCTGCCTGCACCCAAAGTTGCTCACAATCACCTAAAACGAAAGTGCCTTGAGGACTTGAGGACTACGCATGCTCTCACTTCTGAAAACCAGGATTGAGGGATTGGGGACTGCTCTTTCTTTTAATCGCGATGTCTCACAGGCAAGTATTGTCGGAGTGCAGCCTATGCTTGGCCCGTGCAATATGGGGATGGGCCATTCCGAGGATCATAGCCCTCTTCAGTCACAACTGCACCATCAAAGACCTTTGTGTGGGTAAAGGCGCACTTTGAGCCATCATCTCAACAATTGACTTCACAGGCATCCAAATAGCCTTGGCATGCATTTGCACAAGGCCTCAAATAAGACTCCTGAGACTCCTGGTTGCATCGAGGGAAGTGTGTGTAGCAAACCATCTTCCACACAAGTTGGGTGCAGGTGTCGGCTTCCCACGGCTTCTCGTAATCCCAAAAGTCTCGGCCAAGCCCTCTCAGGTGTGCCACATAGCTGGTGACCGCTCTTTGCGTCTGGTCTTTGATGATGCTATCACGATCTCTGCCCTGCAAGTCTGGAATCGCGAAGGGATACGAAGACACAACCCTTTGACAAAATCCAGCCTGCAAGCTCAGGTTACCACGGCTGGACACAAAGCCCTCCTCTTTCACATGCTCTAAGCATCTCCACGGCTTGCCTTGATACTCTTCCAGAACATTGTGGCCAAACTCTTCCAAGCCGGGCACCAGGGGGTTCACGCAATTCCGCTTGACACAAACGGGATCCTGCGTATAACCATTTCGCACCTGGTGTCTAGCCGTTTTGACTGCTTCCAGCATGACCAGCTGAAGCAACACAGCCAGCGCTGTGGTCTTGGCCATCGTGGATCAATGAACTGCTTTAGCTACATTCGCCGGAAAATGGGAAGCAAAACCCTTCCACAGCAAGCTTTGAGCCACCACGGATACAGTACGCCGACAACGCTCAAATACAGATATTGTGAAGCCTCCATGCCAGCTGTCATGTTCCTCGGTTTCTTTTGTGTATATTGAATGTGACGAGCATCTTTGGCTTCTTCCCGTGCCTCTGCTGCATTCTCAGCAGACAATCCAGAACGAAGAGCAGCTTGACCTGAAAGCAAATCACATTGCAACTGGATGTGGGGCACCTCTATTTGTCACGTTCCCCGATTTCAACATCGTAGCACGGGACCAAAACAACTGCACGCTAGAAACCAAAAAATGCAAGTCACCCATCGAATGCAAGCCCGCCATCGAATGCAAGTCAATCCCTAGTCAGTCTGCCATCGAATGCAAGTCACCCTCAAAACTCCTCAAAATACCCGCTGCGAGTTTTTCGAAGGCACCTGCTGCCTTGGCAGCTGCTTGCACGTCCTGCGCAGCGTTCTTCCCAGCCGATTCCGCCGCTTCGGCCGCGGAGATCCTGAGCAATTCATGGGGGGTTGAAGAAGAACTCGTTACTTGGCCGAATGATTTATATAGACAAACTATCGACTGAAGCCAAGTATCCCAGCATGCGTGGCTTCGCCTGTGGCCTCCTTGACGCCTTCCGGGGTCAGGGGCTCATTGTATGAGTCAACCTCAGCCGCGTCAGTGCTCCAGAGCCATTTTTCAACAAGACATGCTTGGCCCACCGAGAGCAGCACCGTTAAAGAGCAGGTGCCAGTTGTTGTGCCACAGTGCCCTTCTTGGCAAAGACATTTCCCATCGACACAGACCTGGGCGAACTCCCACGCCCACAGGGCCCACAGGAGGCCCACAAGACTGACGGCCATCGGTGCCCAGTTGCTGTCGGCCCTCGGGATTTGTCGCAAACTCCCATGAAACAAATGCCTCCTGTATTCCTGCCAATGTCATCACGGCCATGTTTGTCGATGCGTTTGTCACTTAAATCTCTAGTCCACATGACTGTCCACATGTTCTTGGCAACACGAGCACGCCATCATTTCCTGTTGCAGGTGGTGTTCGATGGCTTGTGGCATCCGCAGCCTGGACACAAGCTGTGCTGCGGAACATGCCAGGCTATGGAAAGAATAGAAAAAGAACAACTTGAAGTCAAGTCGCAGTTGTACTCGGGGTAGTTGTGCAGCTCGCCACTTGCCTGCGAATCAGCAGTCGTTCAGCTGCACCAAACGTGACTCCGAACGTGACTCCAAGTCTGCCAGTGGCGCCCAGCTGTTCACCTTCCCCTCCTTGCACAACCCATTGGCACGGTAGTACCTGTCACAAAAAGATCATGGTGCGGCCGCTGAATCCTTCCACGTAAAGCTGCGAGCAGCGGACAAAACAAGATAGGTAAGATATAGTCAGAATACTAACAACAAGCCCGTGCAAATAGATGCGCATATAGTCTCAGGCAAGTTGCTCACATGTCCATCCTTTGAGCGAACCAACACATAAATTCGCAAGAGCACAACTAGCAGCAAGTCAGGTTTGCTACCCTGCTGTCAAGAGTCCTAATGTTGAGGGCCACGAAGCTCCTGGGGTTGACCTGCACCAGGCTGGATTCCGGCCACCCTCTTCATACGCACATGCTGACCAACCTTGGGCACCAATGCTCAGGTTCCAACATGAGCCAGCATGAAAACAGTCAGATGTCAAATTTCAACAGTGCTTCCAGGAAGCCATTGGTCCAATCGGGCGTGTCCCGGCAAATGGGGACTGAAGATTTGGAGCCCACATCCTGAACCAAAGCACAAAAAGAGTCGGACCTTCCACGAAGCCTTGATGTACCCTGATCGCTGCAGCCTTCAAGAAACTGGAACGAAATGACTCACCAGCCGGCCGGGCTTGGCTTGCCTGCTTGGTCTCCAGGGAGCAAATGCCGTCGCTCGATGCGCAGTGCCCCGGCAGGCACAAGCATCGAGAGAAGTTGTGACCTGGAGGGGGGGGGGTGCGAGCGGACATGGAAGGGATGATAGTAGCTTCTTGTTACTAGTAGTAAGGCCAGGAGCCCCTAGTAGCATCCTTGTTACTACTAGTAAGGCACCTGTTACTAGTAGCGATGCACTTGTTCCTAGTATCAAATGATTAGATTGGTGTTGAATGAGTAAATTTCCGTAATTATCAGGTTGGGTTGGTCATGATCCCAAGGAATAACCAGCCAATGCTGGAACCATCTTGAAACACTTTCGACTGGCCTGAGGGGCAAACAATAGGCAGGCCCGTTTGAATAGCCGCAAGTCAGGGCGCAAACCTTTCCTGTTTGCCGATTGCAGGTGGTGTCGTCCTCGCGTCACTTGGCAAGGCGGTGAGGTTTGAAGAATGCCTAAAGCAACGCAAGAAACGCGTTGGCCGTGGCTCACTCTGGTACCCCCCGCCGCAAACTAACATGGAACCTGACAAGTGACCGGTGGGTTTTGGGGTTCCATGTTAATCTGCAGGGGGTATTGGCAGGGAAGTTCTTCCTTCCCATTCCCTCCCCCTCCTGTGCTTCACAGCCACAGCAGTTCTTCTCAGGCCACATGTGCAGGGAGCCCCTATCCAATGCGTGGAACATGGATCTTCCGGACGAAAAGACATGGATCTTCCGGCCTGGCCGATTGCCGGATCTCTTTCACTGTACCATCCTTTTGGCCGCATAGGCCCTGCTGCCGATAGTATTCGCAGGTCCAACCTAAGAAAATTCATCTACAAAGGAAGTTCTCCAGGTCTGGCCTGAGTCTCTCAGGGCTTGGCCTGCTGTTGATGGCCAACTTGCATTTATGGTGGGTCTACAGAGTGCCGGATCCTGACGAGTCGGATCTTCAGGTTGGCAACACACCGCAATCGCATGGCCTTCCCGCCAGGAAGCCACGCGCAACCGGACCAACCATTGGACCAGCCAGGAGTATCTTGGCCTTGTGCCAGATTCTCGTCAAACACCAAAGACATGTAAACCGGTGAACACTCTTGTCTTGGGGTCCAGCATGCTTTGACTCCACCCTTCCTCAAAGTCATGGGCCGGAAGACTTTCAGCAATGGATGCAATTCACAAATTGACATGCCAAAGTGTCTCAGTGTCTTCTTTGGCCGCAACGGCTCCTATTCCACCTGAGGCGCCATGCTCCAGCCACAAAAATGTCAAGCGTTGAGATCCACTCTCTGACTTGCTTTCTTGAAGAAGTTTTGGGATGACTGGTGCAAGAATGTGCTTCCACGCTGCTGTAGAGGAAGAGAAGCGCAGCCTGCAACGAAGAACTGCTTTGCACTCTCTGGATCTCTTTGGTGGGTTTTGCCATGGTTTGACAGCCACAAGACACAACTTGATTCATTGCAAACATGGATGTCAGCACCCTGCACACGAAAAGCGCCTGCAGCAGTCCCTTTGCTGCCAACATGAGGGCTGGAGTCCATGGATTGCCAAATTATATAATCTGCTCCTATGGACTGCGGACTGCCTGAGCGCTAGCTGCCTGACATGCCAATGAAACCCAAGCACATGGACATGTTGCGACATACTGATAACTGATAATGCTGATGAATTTTATGTGTTTGGTGATGTGTGCTGCTTGCGGGTAGTGTGCTGCAACTAGTTATTGTTTGGTTCAAGGCCATTGAGATGCCAAGGCATGTTAGCCCTGGTGCAAAACGTCTTGGGCCAAAAGGATCAATGAAGGCCACACGGTAGTTAGCTACTACATGTCTGGGTGCTCGAACATTGGAAAGCAGGTCCACGTCCCTTCTTCAACTAACATCCTCAACCTCAACTCGCAATGTTTCTTGTCACCATGAGAGCGAAAGCAAGGGCAATCCTTGCAAACACATTACGTAAATCTACGTGAATATGATGAATCCACCACCAGCCGGCCCCCGCTTCTTGAAGGGCTGGCCTCACTACTAAGGAGACTCGACCGCAGATCGAATTCATGGAACCTTTCAAATGCGGTCATCCCATCCTGCTTCTTCCTGCTTCATCTTCTCCTCGACCTGCAAAACACATGAAACAAAACACCGGGATCAAGACAAATGCACATCGGTTTGAACTGGAACTGGTGCTGGCTTGAGCGCGCGTTGCACCCTTTTCCCTCTTGTGGCGAAGCGTTGCAACAATCGCTGGGACTCAAACTTCATCGCGGCTATTCGACCAAACTCATGCTCAAACACCGAGAGCGAGCTCGCACTGCGTCAGAAGCTTGCCTCAGCAAGAGGGCCTCTCGGGCCAAGTGAATCCAGTCTTCAGCCCGCGCGCGGCATTGCCCAACCAAACTGTCAAGAGTGGACAAGGCTCTTCGGAACTCTCCAAGTTCGATCCACTTGAAAGCCTCTGCTAAAGCACGCAAGTTCTTCTGCACGTCTCTCCCTTCCTCAAGAGGGACTGAAGTACCAAGTTTTGATTCCAAAGCTTCTTGCATGGACAGCTCGTCCTGTCCACCCCTAAAACGATAAAGACGCCCGAAGAGCTTTCCAACAAGATTGCCCAGCATTCCACCGTGTTCTGGTTCAAAGGCTGCGGCCACCAGTTCTGGCAATTCACGGTGAAAGGCATGCTGCAGTTCTTCTGCACTGAGGGCTGAAGCTCCCTGAGGAAGGTGCGAAGCAAGATGCGAAGCAACATTGCCCACGAAGCCGTCGGACTTCGCCACATCACCACTTTTCAGTGGTGAACCAAGGGGAACTGACAAAGTGGCTGCTGCTGAATAGCTGGTCATTGAAACCCGGTGCTGAGGGCACCGACCTTGGTTCCAAAGCTCTTGCACTCTTGAAGTAAAGAATTCGGGCAAACTGCGAAGATGACCATCAAGGCTTCGAATGGCTTTGTGAAGATCTTCTGAGAGTTGCAACATGCTGGAGGATTGCAGGTCGTACACATCTCTCTCGGAGCGCTCCTGTACTTCACCAACCGCTTCCTCCAATGCTTCTTTGAGATGGAGGGAAGCGGTTTCTTCTAACTCTGTTTTCATGGTTTCCTTTCCCAACCTCTTCCGAGTGGCAAAGTCCTCTCGAATCTTCATGATTTTCTCTTGGCTGAGTCGACTCCACTCCGGCAACATGGCTGTCCAAGCTGAAGATAGCTCCAACTTTTCGCGCTCATGGTGCATTGCCAGCGCCTCTGCCAAGCGGGACACATGGTCTTGGAGCTCCTTGTCAGACATCGAGGCTGTTGCAGAGACAGCTGCGGTGACAAAGTCTTCAGCATCCACAGTGCCAGAGCTTGCAGAGCTCGAGATCTCTAATCCAAAGCGGCCAAATTCACTGGCCCAGTTTTTCAATTCACTTCGGGGCTCGTTGAGCTCTGCCACCCTCTCCGCAACTTCGAGGGCAGCTGAAGGAAGGCAACCAGCTGACCGGGCTTCTTTGGCACTCTGTTCGCAGACTTTGCAGTCAAAAGGGCTGCTATCCATCGCAGCCTCCAAAGCCTTACCTACGACCTCGCGCAGCTGCTTCTTACTTTCTTGATCCTTCATCTCCTGCAAGTTCGACCGTGCCATCTCAATGACTTCATCAAATCCGCTGGATTCCATGCCTAGACCTTGCAGCTCGAAGACAGAAGCTTCTGCTCGAGTTAAAGCATCTTGCACCAATGCAAGGTTTGCAGCCTCTCCTGCTAACCACCGCCTTCGCTCTGCTCTGATCAAGCTTGCGGCAGAATCAAACTGCTGCTCACATTTGTCCGCCGTTTGTAGCCTTTCCAGGAAAAGACGCAAAAATGAGAGGCTGCTCATCAATTTGCTAGCCAGCTCAGACTTGTCACCTTGTGCCTGTTGAAGGTCTTGAAAGGCTTGCTGATCCACAAAAGCTTGCACGCTGGCAAGCAATTCATGTAAATCTTCATTGTGGGCATCTGAGGCAGAATAGCAGTTGGCCCCATTTTCTACAAGCCTGATACGATTCAAGAATTGTTCGCCCTGGCGGAAAGTTGCAGCCAGCGCAGCTTGCTTTTCAGCCTGCAGCTTTGCTTCGGCCTCAGCTGCTTCTCGTGCCTCTGCTTCACGAGCCGCTGCAGCCTCTGCTTCAGCCAACGCTGCTGCCTTAGCTGTAGCTTCAGCCTGAGACTTTTCGGCTTCAGCCTTTGCTTGTGTAGCTGCCGCTTCTGCTTTCAACTTGGCTGCTTCCTCCTCTGCAATTCGCAGCTCCTCCTGCCTGCGGAGATATACTGCGTAAAGGCCAGCAGTTCCAGCTGCTGTGGCAAGCAGGGCCCATGGAAATCGTCGGCGGATTTCAACTACTTCCACGTCAAATGCCTTTTCTTTCGCTCCAGCTGGTCCAGACGCTCCGCGCTGTGCCAATCGATTGGTTCTTGGTAGCTTGCAGAAAGGAACCTGGTGAATGATGCAGCTGTGTCCTTGGCTCAGACCAATCCCGACATACATTTATGCACCACAAGAATTATATATACTTCCTATTGTTTCCTACTAATGCCTCCGGGTGGCTGTGTGGAAACTTGGCAGCGCGCACCATCTTCTCCTCGGAGTCCCACATGAGCTAAAGGCAGACCAATAATATCAATAATACTGTCAGGATCCATCCCTGTCCTCCCCAGATTTTAGAAGTGATTATATAGCAAGAAGTTACTAGTAACAAGTGCATTGCTGTTACTAGTAAGAAGTGCATTAATTACTATTCAAGAAGCTACTAGCTACAAAAAGACTGTCAACACAAGACCGTCTCCGAAGAACAGTGTTGTAATGTCAACGCTGAATACTTGGGCGCTGAGGAGGGCACATGACAAATGGACCGTTCTCACTGAAAGCCGGTGAAATAACAGAAAGGAATACAACCAAGAAAGGAACGGGTTGAATACTTTGGGTTAACGATGCCGACATGGCCTTGGGTTACCGTTCACATCAGCGATTGCAGGGTCCTTGACTTTGACAAAGCAATCTTTACTGTACCATCATGAGCCATCATGCACAAGGAAAACATAGAAAAACGCCTAATGATATGAGAAGTGAAACAACTGGATTGCCGCCACCAACCCAGGGCCATGCATACAAGCAGCTGAGCATAATCTATACACACAACTTTTCTACTAAGGCCATATGAGCTATATGCTGAGAGCCAAGGCACCAGCACTCATAAGTTGCAGCAAGGAACGCAGTAGCAAGGAACGCAGTGGCACCAAAAAGGTGTCACAAACTAGGTGTTCGTGCCATTCGGGTGTAGGCACTTTTCTCCCCGTCCTTGCGGTTGAAGTCCTGACAGGTGCCCAGGAGTCGCCCGACACAAAAGCACTCTGACTGTAAGTCACTATTTCACTCCGCGCAAACACTTCCCGCGAGAGCTATTCTGTTCTATCCTATTATATCATGGCATCGCCTCCAACTGCGCAAAATTCTTCCTCTTTGCAATGAGCTTGCTCAAAGCTGGTGGGTACTGGCCTGACAAGTCAAGATTGAGTGAACTGGTGAAAGCAATGTGGTGCCATCAGCCGGAAGAGAGCGGTCAAAGGCACCCGGCCAACGCAGTACCAGCTTCCAGGTGCATCGCACTTCCGGTTGGCTGGATCCGCCACCCACTTCTGGCCAGGACCAATGACCATGCTTCATCCAACCAAAGGGAGGAGACGCTCAACCGTTTCAACCAGCCCTCCGACCAGCATTGACTTAAGGCCTACAACCCCCTAGATAACACCCTCGGCCTTGGACTCTTCCGACACGCCGAGAACCTCTGCAGTGTGGGAAGCAACATCTGGGCACCGAAGATCCTCGAAGAACGACCGGGTCCTTGAAGATTCTCATGAGGCCGTACTTGGTTGTATGAACCTTAGCAATCTGCCAGATCGACTGGGCCGCTTGGTACTGTAATTTCTGCGTGCCTCTTGGAAGAGTTTTGGATCTAGTCGCACTCCTTCCATATTGTGCTTCACGGCCTGCCCAAACACAGAAATCTTGCTGCTCGGATGGGCAAGGCAGGTCATCCTCGCGCCTTGTAGAGGAAGGAGGCTGCCATCATTTCAGTTGGCTGGCCGGTCATGTGGTCGAAGCCAAACTTCCTCAATACAGGTTGCATATGCCGCATGTTGCATCCCAAAGGGTTTCCACCAAAGGTTTCAAGCCTGCAAGTAGGGTCGTCTTCACCACAGACCTCAGGGAGGGCAAGTCATGTCTAAATTCTGATTTGGGGGTGGACCTAGGTCCAGGCCTGACAAGGCAATTCTTAATGAGTAATAAGGAGTTGGTCGGCCTGTGTACTGGCTACTAGCACCAACCATGGGCATGAGGCCAGCACATCTGGAAAGACCGAGTTGGCAATTCGCGCCTACAGCCACCGGAATTCAGCAATCGGCCCAGTTGTGCCGAGCCCTCATAGGCACCGACCAAATGTGGGGATTTCCCCATATCATCTCCATGACCCCCAGCCCACACCTTGCCGACATCTGCTGCGCAGAGGGCTAAATGAACAAGTGAGGCCAGAGGCATTCAGAAACACTAGGGTGCGAACTAAGACGTAGTCTGCAAGATGTCGCCTAAAGGAGGAGCTGACATCTGCATCTCAAAGTCACAAACAGTGCTGCGCCTTTTGACGGAGCCACTGCGTGTACTATTTGGACATGCTTTAGGAGGGAGAAAGTAGCAAAGTCGCCGGCATTATGTTGTGGGCCTTCTTCTCCGGGTTTGTCAAAGTGCCTAAGCGGTGCACTGTGTGCGCGACAGCGCCGATGCCTAAATGCCGTGCATGACAACAAAGACATACAATATTGTTACAATAAATTTGTCAATAATTTCGACTGAGCCTCACACGCCCCAAGGTTGCAATGTGCTCATGGTTCCATGTGTTCCCATCAGCAATTGATGTTCGGTTGCCTGACGCTGATGCACGCCGAGTAGCAAGGAGCAAACATATGCAGGGCAGCCCCCAGAACTCTAATCGCACGTTACCAATGAATGGACAACACTTGCACAAAGCATACCATGTATACTGTATACTACACCATTGTTGAATTGACGATCACCCTCTTTACCATCTTCTACTACAAGGCCCTCTTCTGAGACTCTTCTGGCTTCTAGAGCCGCCTCACCCACGCTGCGCTCTGCACCCCCCCCCGCCCAGTGAACAATGTCAAGGCACCAATGCCAGTGATTTGATAGCCATAGTCCCACCAAGCCATTACGCGTGCATCTGCCGGCGTGTTGTCCTCTTGCATGACATAAAGCGCATTTGTTGTCCACAAGCGAGTGCAGTTACAAAAGCCTTCATCCACTTGTAGCCATCCAGGTAATCCGTGATCAAGCCCTGAACAAGGGGGTATGGTCACGGTATGGTATTAAATGAAGCGTATCCATGAAAACCACATCTTTGGAGTCCTTAGCAGTTTTCCTGCACAGGCAGCCTCATTTAAGCTAGCAGTTAGCAGCCTGCTGACTTTGGAAGACGATCGAAGGATGCCCCATATGCTGCCAAGCAGGTCCAACGTGACTTCCAAAAGCTTTGAAAGCACAATGCGGATCGCTTCTCAGCCAATTCTGGAGGGTTGGCTGGAGCGATCTCCTCACAGGTCTTGATGAACTTCTTGGTCTCAGTGCATATCAGCATAGCAACATTTCTTCGTGCAAAATTAAGTCGTTTCATCACAACTTTAAGGGGCCAACCGGCTGACGAAGATTCATGTATCCCGTCACCAACACTAGAATGGCCACACTACACCTCATAGCCCTGGCAAGAATGAGCAAACATATGGAAACTGGTTGGTCTCGCACGTGAACTGAGTTGACCCCCAGCATCTTGCAGCCTGCAAGGACGTGGAAAACGGCATTGTATGTCATCAGCCAAGCTGAGAGCATCTTCCGCCTCCAGCTGGAAGACTGAAAGCAAAAGTACCAAGTGGCGGTGTCGAACCTCTTTTGCAAGCACCATCGGCTGAAAAACACCCCACAGCGTGCGGTAGATTGAGCCCATTCCTCAGATCAATTGAACTAACTGACTCAGATTCATTGTTGGACGCAGAACTGGAGCCTCCGGTTCTGATCTCCTTCTCAACCACGGGCTGCTCGCGCCTAGAACAACATCATCAAACTGGATTTCAATTGTGCCATGCCTGGCGGTCCTTGATACTGCAATGATGCAAGAGGCTTGCAAAGCGACCAAGGAGGCAGCGGGGCACAAAGAAGGTTGAGGAATTGCTGCAAGCACCTGAAAGAAGTCCCTCTGCAAGAGAACCAGCCTTTGAGACAGCACCGCAAGCAACACAAATGAAACTCAGAGGCGTACCAGTCTGTGACTATTCCAATAGGGTAGCCAGCGAGCATGGACCTGTTGAGGTATCAAGAGACATCTGCCGACCTTTAAAGAAACTGAAGAAACCAAGTTCTATGCACAATAGGCCCGCAAATGATCATCAGTCTAGACCTGAGGTATGGCAAGTCAGCTTGACAAATCATATCTTTTTCTCAGGAGTTTGGCTGCAGGCGGCATTCCAAGATTGTCACATTTCTGTTGATCTGGCAAGTCATAAGCAGCCGACATTTTGCCTGAGAAGTGGTAGGCAACGAGTGCATATATCACCTGGCAACACTGCCATCAACTACCATCCAGGGCCTCCTAGTCCATTCTTGGTTGACAAATCGGACACCAGCGAGCAGCATCTAAGCATTCGCCGGCCATGCAGGAAAGATCTTTGCCGGCGTCCGTTGGTGCCAGCCTCTGGATGAGTGTGGAAGCCAAAGGAGCCATGAGGAACACTATGAGGAACCCCTGTTCCTTCCGCACATTTCGCTGATTTTCGGCGTGGCTCTGTGGGCAGAAGCTGAGAGGACAACAAAACAGTAGGCCAACTCCGGCCACCTGCAGTTGGCATGGTGGCCAATTCGGTGGCCAATGCGATCTCTCTTGCGTCATTGAGGAGGAGGCGAAGCGTGCATCTCCAAGAAATTGCCTTGGCGAAAATGACCGTGACCATCCTGTCGGCCACGTGCATCTCCATTCTCCATCCGCGTCTCCGCCCCGTTCCGACCAAGGTTGAAGCTCATAGGCTGAATTGCTCGTCGCCGAATGCTCCGCCACTGAGTCTACCTGGCCATCTCCACTTTTCGGCCGATCAGTGTCGTCCAGCTGGGCTTCCGAGCGAGAGGATTCCCGGTCTTCTTGTGCTTCAGGAAGAGCCCTCGTATTCGGGCCTGAGTCGCACAAATCTCCCGTGGTCAATGACAAGTGCAGAATCAAAACATATAAACCATCTAAGCTCTATACACCCAGTGGCGCGAAGTGACCCATGCTGAGCAGCACATACAGTAGCGCTTCCAAGCACACAAATAAGACACTAATAGGGACTCTAAGACATCAAGCATTTTGCGAAGCCATGCCTGTACAATATCCAGCACACGCCAGCACCGACCAGTATTGTTGAACCAAACACAGCCTCCAAGAAAAATGTGGCAAAGCGAGCAAGGGAGAACAAGCGCTGCCATATGACTCATAGGACCAACTCCAATTATTAAATGTCCAACAGCCGAGGTCGAAACCACCCTGAAGGCACAGAACTTCCAAGGATTGTCTAAACCTCACACTCACAAAGCCCGCACTGGAAAAAGCTTCTCATTCTCTGTGAGCCCTGCGAGATGTGCGCTGCCGCACCAGATCGCAAATATGCATCCTCAGCAAACATGACTTCTCCGCAAAGCAAATTGTATGTAACTGTAACGGTTTGGTTGCTCTGCCCAAACAAGAGGTAAATGGTAAACGTCAAACAACCGCCCATCCAGCATCATCCAACTTACCCAAACCACATTGCTGTTTGTCAGATGCCATTCAGCCAAGGGGCAACTGGAACGTGACAAAGACCAGCAACGTTGGCATCCTCAGAGCAGCTGGCTGGAGATCATAGTGTCATCAGCGGAGGACGAAGGTCATTTGGCATCATGAGTCATTCCTTCAACTGTGCTTGAAAACATGTGCAAGATGGGCATGTACAAAGAACCCCGTAAGGTTCTGCACTACATGGCTTTATCTGAGGGTTCAGCTTGGAATTGCCACAACATTGCTTTTGGGCTGAGCTCTGGTCTGCTCCACTGCCCGAAGCGGGGTCCAGCCGATCACTGGGACTAGCCTCAGGCTGCTCCAGCCGGAGGAATCACAAACGCCTGGAGAATTTAGAACTGAGCAAGCTGCGTAGCTAGCGAAGTGCCCACCACATACCACAAGGTATATGCCTTTCAGCACACTGAAAATGCTGGTGCCACATCTGCAACTCATCTCAACTGCACCTTGTAGAGGCCTGAGTTGTATTTGCCCAAGGCCACTAGAACCGCCGCATGCAAACCTCAGCCATCACATCCCAACTGCTGAAACGATGCCGAGTGTGCTCCTGAGCTCCTTGCCTATCATGTTGTTGACAAATATGTAGCCACCCCACGTTGCCCTGTGCTTGACGCCAGAAATTTACTTCCGGGAGTGTTTGCAAGCGGCATGGAGCTGATCAATTCAGAAACTCAAAGCTTGTCGAAGTTGCTGTCTGCAAATCTATGCACAAACCTGGTCTACTTACAACCTTGTAGATACTCAATGACACTCAAGCTTGCCCATTGAGTGCCATACGCAGCCGTGAAGTACGCAAAGCCTTGGCAAAACAACCCCAGGTTTGTACACCCGAAGTATGCTGGCCAGTCTCTCCCAAGCATGCAACCTGCCAGCAACCCCCAAGGCCACGATTTGGGAGTTCGAATGGAGCGACACCACCTTGCCAGGTTCATGAGTCCAGCTGAAACGTTAGAAAAGGACGCGCTAGGGATCTGGCAACCAGAAAGTTGCACAAAAGCAGGCGACCTAGGTTTAGGATGATGGCAGTCTGCCAACATTCAATCGTGACAAGCTAAGAGACGAAAAGCTGGGGCCAGTGCAGCCACAGCTTCATTGTCATACTCACCAGCACTGGACCGCATCATGTGTGCTGGGATAATGGCCATGACCTGATGTGGGCATTGCATGGCATGGCTGAGCCATGCTCAGCCATTCTGGGCACTGGGCAAGACCAGCGGCAACACCGGCAGAAGGGCTTTCAGAGGCCTCACAGCAAAGTCACACTTTCCAAAGGAAACCTGCCGGGTGTCATCTATAAAGTTGGGAAAATGCAGGCCAACATTTCTTGGTTCAGAAGTAAATTCCCGAACTTCGAAGGAGGAGTGGCCCGCCAAAGGGGGGAATGTCTCCACATAGCTTGAGGAGCCTCAATGGTGAGCAGTACCAGGGAAAGAGTCGCCACACCACCTGAGCACTCATGTACAAAGCGGCACCCCTTCGTGCAACGAGTCACTGAGACCGAGGCCGAACCATGCCGGTGTCAAAACCTGTTGACCCAAAGAACCCTCTGCTCTCCCGCCCAGACGAGGCAAGGCGGACGATTTCCCAGCAGTTCCCTCCATCCCGCGGCCAGGTCACGCACACGTCGTTCAGGCTCATGGAAGAGAACTCAGTTACAAGGTCTCAGGTGCCAACGTCTGTTGGTTGCAAGACTGTAGCCCCTAGTAGCTTCTTGTTACTAGTAGTAGGGCCAGCACCCCCAGGTAGCGTCCTTGCTCCTAGTAGCGATGCCAGGAGCCCCTAGTAGCTTCTTGTCACTGTAGAAAACAAGCACCTTTGGTTGCAATACTGTAGCATACTGTAGCAACATCACGGTTGACATGGTCAAAGGCTGTTGCCGACAGTTTGCCATGACCAGGAAGATACGTCTTCCAGCCTGGAAAATTTCATTTGAAGCTTCCATGCGTTTCAAAAAAATTGTATTTTTATAATTACAGCAAGTGCAGCAAGTGGTTGAGGCCAGGACCTTTTGGCAAATGCTCTAACAACCAGGTGAGTTCCCACTCCGCCTGACAAAAGCAGGATGCATCTTTTGTCTGTGCCATTCTGCCCCAAGTCAGTGAACATCCTTTGATGCGCTGAGAGCACCAGTATGATCCAGTATGTATTCCCAACCAGGCATTCAACACATGCCTTATCCAAGTGGATCAATTTGGACCACATCGACATGCGCTACACTTCCAGCCGCCAACACAAAGAATCTTGTCAACAAAAGCCGGCTGCGGCATGCTTATTTGAGGGGAATTCGGAATGCGTGCCTTCGGGAGAAGCTTCATGACCTCAAACGACTGGGCAAGACAACAGGAATTACCCAGTCAACATGTGCCCCCCGCCAGTTCAATTACCCAAACAACAGAACTAGGGCCGAGCATAGGTCCTTTCAAAAGCTTGGCCGTGTCTCAACATGCTCAGCGGCGCACTCTCCAAATACCAATGCTTGCAAACCTTGGGTCCCACCATTGGGGCATGTGACACGAATGGGACGAGTGACGAGCGTCCTCACAAAGCGAAATGGAACGAAGATTGTGAAACGGAAAGCCGGGGATTTGAACTCTTTGTGATACTCTTGCCAAATGCCGAACCAAGTGGCTGCATTCCAGGATATGTAGTCGTACCAATCGGTCTGCCAATGGGGTACCAACTCATGTAGTCGTACCTTTGTCTTTGCAGGCAGCTGAACCCGGCTGCGGCGATCTACTCTTCATGGTTTGAGACAGTGTGCAACCTGGCCAAACGGCAAAACCGGCCCATACAACAAAGCGCATGAGAGATCACTTCCTGCCATACTGAGTGGCAAACCACTTGGCAAACTTGAACCATCCATTCTTCGCAAGGTACTGTGCCACGCGGAAATTGAACCTTATCCAACATGGTGGAAATGGGGACACAGGTTTCTTATTCTTTTTCTTGGCCCCCAAGCCATGGATCAAACTCGTGAATGAGGTAGCCATAGTCCCGGACAGGCTGCAACAGTTCACGCTCAATCAACGCATACAAAAGCTTTTATCCCTGGACGGCAATGCCATGGACGGCTGTGGCCATCATCGGCTTCGGCGCCCTGTAAGAACCAGGCATGCATACGTATTCGGTAGGCCCACAAGCAGAAGTATGCGACAGCTAGCAGCCTCGGCTCTTCAAGGACGCCCTTGTAGCTTGCAACTGCTGTTGTAATGTCGTTCTTGCAAGGGCCTCCGTTTTCAAGCAATGTGATGCAAGCAGGATGCCGATGCCAAGATTCTGATGCAGTTCTTTTTGCAGAAGTGTCAGTGATTGAGCCATTGATTCCAGGCTGTCCACCCAACCGGTTGCGGTGGACAGCTAAGCATCATTTGCATGCAACTGCTCAGCAGCTGCGAATGTGCAATTGTTTGAAAGGCTGCAAGAAAGACCCAACAAAAAAAAGATGAAAAACGTGTTTGAGCAGTATGATGGAACAATCATTATCACTCTTTCGAAAAGCTTTGATTGTAGCTAGTGCTACACGCACTCATGCTCCAGACTGTGGCATTTCCATGAAGACCATTGCGCGCTCCATATCCTCAAGCCTAAGTTTATGTGAGTTAGCGTCAAAAATATATGCTTGGAGTGTTTTCGTTTCACTTTTGTCAGTCCCCTATCGTTTTCCATGGTTTTGGATTTTGCAAGTATGTAAACACAGGGGTATCGTTTTTTGTCAGTCCCCTATCGTTTTTCAAGGAAAATTACGAAAGCAACACAGAGATGAAACGTCCCTTACTAAAGTGGTTGATGATAATTTTGAGGTTGCCTCATGTGAAACCAGCCCTTGCAGAGAGTTTCCGCTTTCAAGCCAAGAACGCTTACCAGCTTTGCGCTGAGCGGCTGCATCAGTCGCTTCCTGCGGAAGTGAGCGGCTGCACCCTAGATGTGAATATGGCGTGCAATGCATGTAATTCAACCTATCCCACATGAAATACCTATTCTGAGCATCCAACTTTGGCCAACCGGTCATTGAAAAAACACTCAACTGCAATTAGCACACATCTCTCCTGAGAACCTGTGCCATGAGACATAGCTCTGCGCATGAAGTTTTGTCCTTGGCTGCAGTTGTCTGAGACGACTGCAAGCAGGCACACGAAGTGCATGTTTATGAGCTCGAGACTGTTCATGAATTTCTTCCATCTGCAGTTCTACAAATTAAATGTCTGGAGGAGCTTGAAGAATCCACCTTTGCGGGCAAGTTTCAGACTTGGCCACTAGCGTCACCTGAGTCTAACCAAGTGTATCGTTTTGTGTTTTAATTAGCATCAAGATCATCAAGGGATTTGCTTTCTTGCAAGTACTTGCCTCAATGTTTTGAAGAGCAAGGTGCCTCCACCGTGTGGCCCAAGCCAGAGACGTAGACTTTGACGTCTGAGCTGTCCACAGTGCAAGGCGAATCTTCCTGTATAACTTCTCGAGGCAACTTGTGATGCCAACTTTGCTTGGGTAAGCCGGCACCACAAAGATCCGCAAAGCTGAGTTCGGGGTGCAACTTGCAGCAAACAAACGTCTTGGGGAACAGAGATGCCACACCTCTAAGAAGTCGATCTGCGGATTCACTGTGGTAGATCAAATCAAATCTGAGGAAAAAAGGCGATCTAGCACAGCTTTCGTTGTGTCAATGACTCTGAGGAAATTCGTGCTCCTTCACGACTCCGCGCACTTCGGCTTCAACTCCAGCCCGGAATTCTGCCGGTGAAGCCTCTTGGCTCAGCAGAGTGATATGCTCAATCCTGACCAAGCAGGCAAGCTCAGGATAAAATTCATCAGTTTTGTCGTTTGCGTGCCATGTGGCTTGCTGGGTGATGGCAATGCTCTAAATGTTCACCGGACTTTGAAAACTCCGTAGGTTTATTGCTGATCTGCAGCTGAGGTGCATCAACTGCGACCATGTATACCTGACGAAGCTGAAATCCCTCAAAACACGGCTTGCTTTCAAAATTCTGGAGTTCTGGTATGTGCTAGGCGTCACCCTGCAACTCCTTTGAAGATTTGGGAATCATAGGGGGATGCTAACAAGGATGAATGTGGTACCCCTCTCACAGGCAGATTGCCTACAGCAAGCCTCTAACTTTGCACTTGAGTTGGAACCTGATTCCAGCCAGATTCAGCCACACCTTCTTCTGATGGGAACGTGATCATTCCTCATCTTTCTCATCTCAGCTCCAGAAAAAAAACGGACAGCGGGGAGCGAGTTAGAACAGCAAGTGCAGTTTTTTTCCCCCAGGAAGTTGACGACTGAAACCAGTCTTGTGCCCAAGCTTCGATGAACCGTTCTTCCCAAGTCTCAGACCAAGACCATCAAACCAAACACCACACCAAACCACTGCAAACATGAATACCAAACTGGTGGTGTTGAGCCCGAGGGCAAGGGGAGCTCCAAGTGGGGGATTTGGGTCCCAGAGCTAACCAATTCGTGCTAATGCTCCAGCTTGCGGTCCATGACTAATCTGGCATTGCCGTGGCACATAATGATAAAGGAGAGCAAAAGAGACACCTCAGAATGCAGCCAGGCTGTGCCGTGCAAGATTCTGACACGTTTCGTGCAACCAATGATGTAAACTTCAATTGGCTTTTGTCGGTGGGCTTTTGTGAATGTTGCAAGATTCTTCAAGTTGCTGTTCTCCCACAGGTGCATCTGCTTTGATTCAATTTGCGCGGAGTAGGCGCAGTTGGCATGCTAAATGCACAATGCAAGAATGGGCAATTAGAGTTTTAAAGCTGCATACATCAAGGCCTTACAAAGACTTGGATCAGAATGACTGCTGGGAACGTTAGGGTCACAGGACACAGCCTTCCGGCATAAGCTGAGCCACAAAGGGATCAACTTTGTCCTCCAGCTCCTGATTGTCTTTTAAGAAGTAAGCCTGGGCTAGGAAAAAAAACAAGAATCCGCACTCCAACCGTGGCATTCACTCTCTCAATTGCTTGAAAGATGCGGCGGCGAAAGTCACTAGGATGACAAAACCTGATCGGAAAGGCACGTCTAACAACCCTTGACTTGATCCTACACGCATCGAAGCAATTATCGAAAACTCACACAACACCTCTCAGCAGGGCACTCGTACACATAAAGTCGTTGCGTTTGTCCGTCGCCAGGGCCACCAACACAGAGGAGCCAGTCTTCGGGATGGCGTAGTAAATGCAAAACAACCATAAACAGCACCTTGAATTTGGCAGTCCGTTAGGTAGAGGGAGGCCAGTGCTGTTGGGTTGGAGGCCATCGCTACCAGGGTGGAGGCCGTCGCTACGGAGGCCACCACTATTAGGTTGGAGGCCATCATTCTGCCCTTCAACTACAGTGCAGAAGGACTGGTACTTTTACATTCCGGGGATGTGGTGGCAGTCTGGAGGCTTCTTGGCCCCCTTTGGAAAGAAAAGCACAACTGACATCAATAACAACCTCAGTGGCAAACACCGGGGAGGCACTCATTATGCAGTACGCTTATGCTATATGCTTAGGCTGAGTGGGGTCTGGCGCGGGTGATTTTACCCTCCTGGAGAGTCCTGGAGGGCTGGCTTAATCTCCATCGGTTCTACCTTTGTTTTTGGCATTGGATTGTCCATCTCGGAGCGTCATCTTCCTTGCCTTCTTAGGCTAAAATAGGCACAGCCTCGAGATGGTCTCAGGTTCGACTCCCCCGTGCCGTCAGCTGACCCATTGTTCTTGTTTTTTTTTGTTTTTGGGTCGCTTTTTCCAAAAGCTAAGGATAGGACAAACAAAACGACTGCGCGCAAACGGTTGACGAAAATGATCTCTTCAAATCGAATTGCAGCTTCCGAATGTGGCATTCTCATCTGTCGCTTTTCTCCTTCTAGGCGCATCAGCCTGCCACACGGACAACGCCAGTCCCACGGCAGACCTGCGGAGTCGAGAGCGCCAACAACGCTGCAGCCTGCAGCATCTGCTTCACAGCCCTCCTCGGGCGGCGCCATCTCGTTGAGCTCTTCAAGACAACAACGCCATGCACGCTTCGACTGGTAATATTCTTGGCTTTCAGTCGCAAGCTCTCCGAAATGCACTTGTTTTTGTCTTTGCCCATTACTGGTGTGGAAGTACGACTGGTTGAGACAATAATAAACAGGTGTCCAGGATTCGAAGGCTTCACGAGCGAAAGCAGGTTAGAGCAAGGCGCCCACAAGCCATATTTATTGTCTTGAACACTTGGCTTACATAAAAGTCCACGGTGTGCTTGAAAACAAACAGAACGATATAAACGCAATGAACTTAATAAAGTTGGCTTATATCTTTCACAGCCCTGCTTACCTCCGGCAGGTGCGTCGCCAAAGGCGCTCCCTCCTACCGGAGGTCGGGGTCAGGGTGCGCCCAGGACCGCCGACCTTTTAGCAACCCCAGCAACCGCGGCGACCAGGCGCTGGAAGCTCGCAGGCCACTTGGGAGGGCGTGGACGGAGCCCAAAATAGCTCAAAGATTGAAGATTGAGACGTTGATGGCTGTGAGGTCGTTCTCGTGGTTCGAGATATGCGGCCCGAGTGGCCTTGCATTATTAGCAATTTGCGCTTCTGCTTGCTCTTCTTCTCTTCCTCATGCAGAGAAGGACAAAGAGAAAGAGAAAGAAAGCGAAAGCGAAGAGGCTCTGGCGCAGAAACAGACTAACCACCCAAGCATCGGGCGGCAACAAACAAAAAGGAACCACCCCCAAAAAAATAACAAAAGGTTGAAAATCGGCGGTGCTGTGGAAAATTAGAAGCGCGCAGGAGCAGGTGAAGGACGACGACTACCACAACGACAACTGCCAGAAGAACAACCAGGACTGCCTTGATCCAAGTGACCTGCATCTTCCCTGCGCCTGCGCCTCGCGCCTGCACCTGCCCTTGCCTGTCCGGCCCGTTCTCAGGCGTAACCCTTGGAGGCGCTGCAAGCCGCCGACCCAGCGCGGGGATGATCGGGCATGATCAATCGGAGCTACTAGTAACAGGTGCATCGCTATTAGTTACAGGTACTTCTTTAGGCGGTCCCCCTACTCACTGAGTCGGTCCACCGGTGGGACAACTGAATGGCCATCCCGACGCTGCTGTGCAGGGAAGAAGGACGTGATCTGGCAGGAAAAAGTCCTCTCAGAATATGATATCATTCCAAACGTGCTTCTGACCACCCATTATAGAAAAATGATCCAATTAGAACAGCAACATCCACCCATGCACTATCTTATCACCACATGAAGTCTGCAGCTGTGTCACTTGTATGAGGCGCAGCACCCAAGGAAAAAGTTCTGCATCCTCGAATGTGGACGGCAATTGTACATTGGGCAATCAACTGCTGCACTTGGCCCTGCGGACTTGGGTCTTGATGAAGCTCTGTCGCTGTTGTCAATGCAAAGCACCACTATTACCAATCGATTTTTGGGAAGAAGAAGCCCAAAAGTAAGAGCAATCCCAGCCCAGCAATGACAAGCATCTTCAACTCTGCCCATTTCTCCGCTGCATTCTCATAAAGAGAAATTGTCTGAACGAGCCTTAAGCATGCCATGGTGGTCAAAAACAAATCTGCCTCGAACATCACTGCACTGCAGACTCGACACTCTTCCCGTGTCACCATATCTTTCATCGAATCCTCAGCAATGACGCGATCATAAAAGGCGATCCTGTTTCCCTTCAGGTGGAGGCCTTCGCTAGTAGGTTGGAGGGCATTGCTTTTGGGTTGGAGGACAGTGTAATCTTACTGGTCTCAGAGTGCTGGAGATGACAGCAACACCGACGCTAGCAAAGGAAGGACCTTGCAAATATGCTGTTGCTTCCAGGTTGTCCTGTACTGTATGTTGGCCACCCTCCAGGAGTCCTTGAAACTTGAAACTCGATTGGTTGTGAAGCAGTACCATTTGCACAGCCCAAGCCACAGCCATCAGTTTTTCATCTGCGGTACCTGTCAGCCACAGAACTCCAAGGTTCCTAGCATTTCTTTCGGCGACTTTTTGGAGATGCCCTCTCAACTGCACAACCACCATTATTTCAATCTATTTCATAATATTTAACTTAATCTCTTAACCACCAGGCTTCGCTGGCTTCGCCCATCAAATGGCCACCTTTCCGCACCATGAGTGCAATCACTCAAGGCACCGCATGACCCTAGGCTAGGCCCTAAGCCCTAAGCCACGGTACCATTCTCCTTGAAGTAGAGAATCAGTGGATTGACGATCTTGGTCTCGCCCTTCCAAATGCACTCTCCTGCCTGTGACAAGTGGCAAGTGGATATTCTTGCTTCATGACAAAGTTGCAAACACGGCGAGAATTCTCCAAATGCCTGCCAGCACTCAGCACACACACAGACTCTAATCCAGTCCTCCTCGCAAATGAGGTCGCTCTGCCATGCATCAAACTCTGGAAGAGTGCGAGTCTGATCAAAGAACCTGTCATATCGGCAAAACGTGCCACCACAAATCATTCAAGTCGCTCTCTTCTCCCTTGGTCTCCATTCGTCTCAAGGGCCTGCTGATTGCCTTAAATCCGACGTCATCCTTGCTCTCGACCAGGCCTTCCAGGTTCCTGAGGTCAGGTTTGTGAGCCCGGGCCGGCCCTTATTCGCGCGATAGCCAAGGCAGCCAAGATTCGAAATCGCATTGCCAAACATCAATGCCTCAGAACCGTGCGCAAAGCAAAGCCCGATGTTCTGTGAGAAAGAGGTACATGAATGGGGTCGGTATGCTTTTCACTCGTTCGCGCGCTGCAGAAGTACATGGTCTAAGGAGCCAGCAAACATGAGCGTGCTAAAGACCTAAGGCAGCTTTGGAATGCTGCAGGTTAGGTAACGGTTAGGCGCAATGACAGCCATGTAGCAAAATAGAGAGTTGATGTGGCAAGCACTTCCTCAAAGTCTGCATCCAAATGGCCAAACATCCAATGCTCTGAAACTTGCCCTGTCCCGCAGGATACCTCAACATGGCAGCAGTTGCATAAAACTGCTAAAAGCAACTGTACAAGACCCCACAAAAAGGTTGCGATTGAAAGCCTATTTGTGGCCCTTCCCCACAGAAAACCAAGAGGACCAAGAGTATGAAAGATTCTGATTCAGGAAATGCATCCACCATGGACTAGAATCTCATGTCGGTCGAATAAAGAGGTTTGACACCTCTTCTCCCGGCCGTGTGTCACCCGGGGGTTCGCTCCGAGCAGCCGCTTTGGGTCCACCTGGGACATCCGGTATCCGGTGTAAAGCCTCAGCCACGTGCGCTTTGGGGGATGGATTTGAGCCTTCTCTTCTCCAAGGAGCGTGATCATATTGGCCATCAAATCACCCAAGGAATCCAAAGCTGATGTCCTACATCAAGCAGCATCCGACATGAAACTGGAGACGAATGAAACGAGTATGTGTGTACCCTTGGGCCCTCCTGACGACATCTGCCTCTGTTATCATGTAAATGCTGATCTTTGTGAAGGCAATCACTACCTCAGCGACCAGTCTGTGGTCAGTGGCCAGCCTGCAAAGGCCAGTCTGCAAAGCGGAAGTCTCACTTGGCTGCTGGCACACATGACTGTAGCAAACCGAGTGGTGTTCCTCACCTCAGATTCAAGTCTGAATCAATTTCCACCCTTGAACACTTCCACTCCCCAGCTCAAACAAACTTTGAGGAAGTATGCCTGGCACATTGAGCAGCAGGGGGGTGGAGCATGCATGAATTATCAAAAAACTTGCCAATTAATTCAAGATGCAATCCTCAAGGATTCTTGCTGCTCTTGAATGCCAGCTTGCACCGCATCCTCGACCTTTCAAAGTTGCCAGAATGAGATTGTTCATTGGACGCCCTGGCCCAGCCCGCCCACCAGCACCAGTGTCCAGCCCAGCGGCTGAGATTCGTGTTGCGGCTCCCTCTTCCACGATCCACGACTTTTGGACCCTGGAGGCCCTTGATTGTCGAGAGTGTGACGCGCCTGGGGGAAGCAATGAAATGCCAATGTCTTTGTTCGGTTCACATTGTTGCGTTTGCTCTCTCTTTGGATAGGCCAATAGGTGATTCCTGACCCAAAATCAGTGTGGACACGGACATGGTTTCTGCTCATGGAGGCCCTGCCTGCAGTCGCAAAACATCATTTGCAGGACCAGATCGTTTCATGACGCCAACCGTGCCGGAGAGGTTATCATTAACACACATGACCTTGTTTCACAATTTTTTGGTTGTAACTTTGCTCGGTCAAGCGGGACATTTTCGGTCCCTTGTTGACCCTGGAACTTCTGCTGTTACCGACGAAAACCATAATGCTGCCCCAAAACAACAAAAACAACGAAACCCTGGCGGGGCTGTACCTGGTCGGTACCTGCGACGTGGGTCACCGTGGCAGTGCCACATTAGCCAAAGCACTTTGAAAAAGATAGTTTGAACTCCAGCAGTGTCTCTGCTCGTTCAGCCGCGACATGGCTTGGAGTGACCTTCCTTTTGGTTGGTACATTTTTGCACCATGGTTCACAAAAGGAATGCATCTGAACTGATCCAATTCAACAACTCATCACCGACCCTGCCTACCTTGAATGAACGCATGCAAAAACAAACCGTTGTGCGGGTACTTTTCGGTTTCAGTGCAAATCTGAAAAATTGTGCCTGACGTTTCAAGCTGTCTGCCTGGTTGTCCTGCCAAAGGTTGTAGCACCCCTTTGCACAATGGCCACTGACTCTGCGTGACGTCGTTGTGGAATGTTACTGAGCAACGATTCAATTTCCCTCTCCCTCTCATTCCCTCCCTGTCTCAAGGGGCATGGCAGCGGATGGTTTACCCACACTCACCCACGCGCCTTCCGCTACACTTGTCCTCCGGTGCAGGGGTTGTGAAGCCACCTCCCGCGCATCCTGCAAACGCCCCCGAAAACCTCATGGTCGGTTTCTGGGGGTTGACTGGTTTCAATTCTAGTAAGTGTTTTTTCTGGCTTGCTTTAAGTGCCGCCAAGTTTCCATGGCTGCGGTTGGAACTCGCTCGGTTTTGAACCAAGTTCTTGCGCACACCGCGGTCACAGACTCACTGTCAATCCCACCCACACTTGCTGCAGGGCCGAACATGAGGACACAACTGAGCCAGCACCACGGCAGTCAAGGCCAGCCATCGAGCCAATCGCATGTCCTGCAAATTGAATAAGCAGCCGGTTACAATATGAGCGTTGCTAACTTGTCTACTTTCTGCTCTTCCACACCTTGCCTTCAATGGGGACGCCCCGGAAGATCCAACGCAATTTGGTTGATATGTGAGGCATGTGAGTGTGGGAAACTGTGCAATGCATTCATGTGGCCCGGAAGGCTCACAACACAATCGGGTTGTGTTCCTCAAAAATGTTCATCTTGTGTCCTGCTGCCTTGGCATGTCTGAACCCACGACTGCTGGAATCCATCACGTCATCACATCACCGGTCACACCTTTTGGCCCGCCCAAAAACTTCATGGTGCACGCTGTGAAATATCATTCCCAACAAAAATACAATTAAACCCTGTTGGTCATGGTTGCTTGAAATCATAAAAAGGGGTCAACGAGAGCATGAAATTCCCTACCCAAATGCTATATTTTCTGTGCTCTCCCAAAGCCAAATCGACGAGAACCTGCCAAAAGATTTTATAAAGCTGAGACTTGAAAAGAAGGTCCAATTCCATTGTTGCATAGGGTCTAAATGATCTTTTATGTTTGTGATCCTATACCATCGATAACCATTGATATCCTTAGATTTGACATTTTTGTTTGATTTTGTACCCTCTATCATTTGCACGCTCCATCCTCTCTACACCTTCAACAATGAATTTTGTGAGACAACGCGGAGACTGAATTGCATTTTCATCCCATGATGTTTTCGGGTGGGCTGGGAGCGGACAGACCCAAGGCCTCGGAAACAAAACTCAAGTATCGATTGTTTTGAAGACATTGGATCGTTCACTCGACAGATTTGTGCCCAAGGCGCCTGCGGTAACGTGTCATGTGAAACAGTTCTACACTTGATCATAGCCATAAGGCCGTGAGGCATGAACTCAGAATTTCACTCCGGTCATCCTCTTGATCGCTCGGTCTGGGAAATCTGGCTTCTTCCAGCCAGAAAAAAATGCTCAGCCACAACAGCTGCTGCATTTGCCTCACCTGTTCGCCCTCTCTCAGATGTGGACATCCTTCTCGATGGAACTTCTTGCCAGTCTTCGTGATGAAGATGGTTTCTGGCATCTCCAAGCTCTTGATGCGAGCCAGGTGTCTCATGATCTCCTGGTCTTTGAACTTGACCATCTTCTGCAGCTTCTCGATCTCGCCGGCCATCTCGGCGTTGTCAGTGATCCTTGGTGTCGGCGGTGCTGGTCTCTCTGATGATGCTGCCGTCTTCCTGTCCAGCTTCATCTTCAATTCAGCATTCTCATCTTCAAGCTTCACTAGTCCAGCTCTCATGTCGCTGACCGTGGATTCGAGCACTTTCTTCCTTGCTGTGACCACTGTCATGTCATTCTTGAGGTTCTTCAGCTCGAAGTCCTTGTCATCGTACTTCTCCTCAAGCTTCTCATACTTATCTTTCCACCATTCGTTGTCAAACTTGAGGCTGTCGATCTCCTGTTGCTGTAGGTGTGCATCTTCTTCGCTCTTCTTGTTCTTCCGCTTCAGCGTCTCCTTCTCGTCAATGACCTTTCGTGCAAGATCTTCCCATGTGTCTCGAGGACTTGCTTTCCTCTTCCGGTGGAAGGATGCTCCTGAAGATGATGGTTGATCTCCTTCTTGATCGACATCCATGTCGTCGTCGTCGTCGGACTCGATCTTCACAGGTTGGATTCTTCTCTTCTTGCTCATCCAACTTGTCACCATTCTCTCAAGCATCACCGCCAGAATCACCGTGATGAAAATCATGAGGTACACAAAGAAGTAGCTCTTCTGCTCTTGATTCTCCGGTTCAGTGGATTGCGCATCCACCAAAGTTCCAAATGCCAAAGTCGGCATCATTGCCGCCAGCATCTTCTTGGAAGTGGCAAACGCTGCCAGTCCCACAAGCACTGAAGCATGTGTCGTTCGCACCATGCTCTCATCCTTCTCTGCTTTCAGGATCATCTCCTCGTCCTTCAGCATAAGGTCGTGCTCATCAAAGTCGATGGTCGGAAGAACCCTTGTCACAATTTGGTGCTTCTCCACTCCATGCAGTCTGAATAAACCTGTTGTCAACAACATCAGCATCATTTCATGGACCATGGACTTGGTGAGGGAATCGGCCAGCATGTAGTTCGTTGGGACCAATGTCACCATTCGAACTCTGCCATCCAGTCGTGCTTCCTTGATGGACAAAACGTAAAGCCGCTGTGTCTTGTCCTGAGGCATCGTCTTGCTGCCCGTGATGAGCTCATAGACATCTCGAGCATCTCCATACATGTCCAAAGGCATCTCTGGATTTCCAGCCGTCTGGATCTTGATGAGGTCCTTCAACGATGGAGGATGTTGAGGATGTAGCATCTCGCTGAGTCTGATCATGCACAAGGTTGCAGATTCCAAGGCGTTCACCATGGCTAGTGTCTCACCATGTGATGTGCTGTAGCTCACCCTCTTGGCTTTTGCTCCATGTGAATGCAAAACATGCGTTACTCCTCCATGCATGAGCTCGTGCTCCTCAGTCTCGCAGGTGTGCTCAAAGTCAATCGTGATGTTCCGCCATTCGTCATCGGCCAAAGCAATGACTACACCTTCCTGGGCATAGTTCCGGCCCTTGCTGGCTGCCGAAGCATCATGAAAACAAACTAGTCGTCGATGCCTTGTCCTGAAGTAGCGGTAGTGCAAACCAACATCTGCAAACTCCTTCACCTTCATGAACACATTGTTTGCCTGCTTCAAATCCTTGACCTCTGCTACTGTCACTCGTGATTGTAGTGCTGAGACATCCGCAATCACGTCCAGCCGTGTCGCTGTCACCCAAAGAAGTGCTCCTAGGATGGATCGCAGATCTGAAACTTCTGCTGGTGTCAATCTGGAATCATCTTCTCTTGCAGGGACAGATGCAGGTGTGATCTTTTCTGAAAACTCCTGCTGGCTGATCATGTAGCCGTCTGCAGTACGAAGGTACTCACAACCACAATGAGTGAATGGCAATTGCTGTCGTGTCACTTTGCCAAACTTCTTGACAAAGGAATCATACGCATCGTCCAGCCACTCAGGCGTTCCAGTGATCGCCAAGTCATCCACATGCGTCGTGACCATTGCAATGTTCTCACCATCCTTCTTCCATGTCCAACAGTTTTCATCTAGGTGAGATGGTTCAGCGCCGCTTTCTCGGATGAAGTCATGTAGAGAAAACTGCCAAGCCAGTGGAGCGTCATTCAACCCATAAACAGGCTTCAAACATAACAATCCATAGTTGTGCAACTCTCGTTCAGGAACCTTGAACTCGTCAGAGAATTCCGCCAGATGTCGCCAAACATTAAGTGGAGGAAATATCACCACCATGCGGACAGGTGCTTGAATGCCTTTCTTCTGCAGGGTCTTTCGAATCTTCTCAAAGTCAAAGCCCTTGAGAAATGCTCCAGCAATGTCCAAGCTTTCCAGGCTCATCTTGCGTGACCACGATGCTCGGGATACCAGGATCCTTTGGCTTAGCCTTGTCGCAGTCGTTGATCTTGTCGTGAGCTCGCCCTTCTGTTCATCCAGACAACCACGTGCACAAAGTCGAGACTTGATGCGAATGCTCCTGTCAGGATAGCGCTTTCGCTTGCGAACCCACCGTGCATCAATCTGCACGTACTCTCCTGTGATCTTCATCTTGTGGATCTTTGCGAATGCTTTCTCGTCAACAAACTGCTTGATCTCGTTGCGATCAGCTTCTTCAACAGCAGGCCAAATGTCGGCCGTGATGTCTGCTTCTTCAATGTTGCGAGTCTCCTGATCTACCTGGTAGATCTCTGCAGTTCTGAGGCATGCATACGCTTGATGCGTCTTCTTATAGTGGAAGTGGAACAGTTGAGGAAGCTTCTCTTTCTCCCGGAGATGTTGTTCCACCATGAACTGATTGCACACCTCTGACCACATGTGACAACCTGTCAACCAATCATGTCCACAATCGATCTGAATGATGTGGTTCTCAGTCATGTTGACATACAAATGTCGTAGAAAATCGAGCTCTTTCTTCACATTGTAGATGCGCTGCCTCTTCTTCTCAGGTGCCATGACCACTGTTCTGGTCTCTGGTGCATCTCTCTTCTCGCCTCTGTCATCGGGAACGTTGACGTCCATCTTGTCGTCATCCTTATTGATGGTCGACTGACTTGCTGGCTCTTCCACAGGATCAGGATGATAGTGGAACAAGTAGATTGTGCACATCTCTTCACGAGAGTAGTTGGAAACCCTCTTCATCTTCAAGAATCCGTCGGAGAAGTGCTCTTGCACGGCGTAGCCTTGTCCTCCATGAATCCATGAGATGAGATGACCAACTGTGTTCGATGGAGGCTTGATGTTCCGCAAGCTTCGTCCAAGTAGAGCTCCATGGACTTGATGCTTGCTCAAACCTTTGTAGATGTACTGCGCCCACAACATGATCTTCGTTGCATGATCATCCTCACGAGGGAAGAATCGCCACTTGCCATCTCTCCTCAGCCAACCATAGATGTTCGTCTTGTACTCTGTGAGGCTTTCGACAAATCTCATCAGCTTCCGCAAGGCATCTTCTGTCTCCATATTATTAGGCAAGGTGAAGTGGAAAATGCCCTTGTAGGATCGGATGTGTCGGAGTGCTACCAGATATGGCTTTCCCTGATATTGGATGATTGCCACACCGTCATCAGCGTCAAGTCGTAGCAACAAAGCAGGTCCACGCCAGCCAGGGTCATTCTTCACCTCTCTGTAGAATTCAACCTCTGATGTACCAGCAATGAGCTGGTCGAGGTCGAGCTGGTGTGTCCTGGTTCTGGCTGCTCGTGCTACACGATCTTCAATCACAGCTTGATGAGCTTGTGCAAGTGCTGTTTGCCTGATTCTCATCGCCTTCTCAAAGACAGTGACATCTGTCTCCTGGGCTCCAACAACACTCATAATGCCACGGCTCTCAGGATCATAGAAGCCATTTGGAAGAGTGCCAAACACGCCATGGATGGTGTCACGCCACCGTAGGACAAGGTGATGTTGTGAGCCATGCAGCTCTCCTGAGCTATCTCTTCGTTCTCTGGCGCGAGGCCTTGTCTCTGTAGTTCAGCTCGTAGCTTGTACATGGTGAGCTTCATCAGACCCACATGTCGTTCCACCAAGCCAGTGCCAGTGTGCTGTTCGGCTCCATGTCCTTGTGTTGTGCCACGGGGCGCACGCTCAATGGAGAGTCGTTCAAATTCTGCTGCAGTCTCATGTGACATCAAGGATACCTGTTGATCGAGAACAAGTCGACGAGGTGGTCCAAAGAGAAAGATCCATGCCTTCTTAAATGCCGTCAGCAAATCGTCAGATTCTTGTCCTTCAATCGTCGTGCACATTTTGAAGCGAGTTGCTTCGTCACAAAGGAGCATGAACCAGTTGTTCTCCCACATAAATAGGTCCATCTGTACTGATTCATTGAAACTGCTTGCTCCTCGTGCTCGAACTTGTGGACGATTGGGAAGTCTGACATACTTCCTGCAGATGGCACAGCATTGAACCGCCTCAGTCGCCAGCTTAATAACTTCAGGTGACATTCCAGCTTTCTGCAGTAAATTCGTGAAGTCGGAGATCGGCGAATGCCAAAGCCGTTCGTGAAGACCAAGTAGGAGTTGCTTGACCTTCGTGTGGTTCTCGTCTTCCATGAGCTTAGGAATGCGAACCAACACTCTTCGCAAGTTGTAGTTTGGCTTCAATGGCTTGATCTCCTCAACTGACTTTGTCTGCAGTTCTTCATCTTCATAAGGTGCAATCTGAGTTGGATCTCGCTCAGCTGGGTCTCCTGGTCGATCGAGTACCACTGGAGGTGTCAAAGGTGCTCTCTTGAGATCAGCTATGCTCTTCTCATCCATCTCGTCGAGGTTCTGGGCAGGCTGCACGATACCAGGTTCATCAGGTCTTGTTCTTGGCCTTGATGCTGGTGTTGATGGCGAAGGTGCCATATCGTGCTCCACTCCATAAATGGTGATTGCCCAGTCATCCTCGTCGAGTGCTGCGTTGATCTGGCTGAAACTCATCTCTCGCAAATCTTCTGGAGGGTGAATGTCCCATGCTTTCACATTGCCTCTCACTTGCATCCGTAGGTATGATGATGTCAATGGAAGCTTCGGCTCTGCTGATGCAAGATGGAAAGGTCGGAGTTCAATCTTCACTCCTTTGACTTGAATCAAGTCCTTGAAGAACTCCTTGAAGAGGCTCATGAGCATAGGATTGTCCAACCAGTGAACATAGTCAATCTTCCTTCTTGCTGCTTCATTGAAGACACCCATAGTGGCGTTGATGGTTTCGAGGAGGAGCTTCTTGAGCATGTGTGTAGTTGGCACGGAGAGCGCTTTGCTGGTGAGGTTCTTGATCTCCACGCCCTCATAGAGCTCCGCCTCGGCTTCTTGCTTCCACTTCTTCATGGCGTCCATTTCAGCTTCAAGCTTCTTCTTTCTTCGTGGATTTTCTTCGGATGGCCATCGTCCATGTCGACACTGTCCAGGCACCAAAGTGTGCTCTATGTTGCGAGGACAATGACGTCCAAGCTGGCATCGGACACAATCATAGTAGTGACCAAGCGTCACTGCGTAGGCATCCTGTGGCCAAGTCTTCAGCTTGAGCAGGTTCATGTAGGACAGGTACTGGATGATGTCCTGCTTCATGCGCTGACATCGAGGTCCTGGTCAGACCAGATTGGCCTGTGCCTTTGAGCTGAGTATGTGGAACACCGCAATGACCTCCGCATCGAAGTCCAGTGTGCTTCCAACGAAGGTTGGATCCAAAGCCAGTGGGCTTCATGATGGGGTAGCCGTGTTCATCTTGAGCTCCATGCATGCACTGGTCCACTCTCTGTCTGCTCTTATTGCCAGGAATTCGTTGCAGTCGTAGAGGATTCTCTGGAAGTTCTTGCCATGATTGTGCTCCATAAGGTTGTTCTATGTTGTAGCCACGGCCATTGGCATCTTGTCGTGCAGAAAGATCTTGACATAGTTGTAGAGCAGGTCGATCTTGGAGACGTTCACACATCTTCTCATCAGGATCTTTCGTAGATGCCGCAACTGACCATGGTGCACAGTCCGGAGACATATGAAGCACTCCAGGTTGGAACTCTTCGTAAGCTGCGTGGATCATACCACGATGGCTTGCTACTCGCATGTCCCAGCCGTACCGGTAGTCGACGGGGAAACCAAGCATGAGTCCGGCAAGAAGCAACGTCAGCGACAATCTTCCACTGCCACTGAACAGCTCCCAGAAGTGCCATCGCAATCCTCGTCCTCGAACTCTCTTGAACCAGCTGTCAAAGTTCTTGGGAGTCACCGGCGTCAATCCGCTCTTGGTGTAGAACTCCTCAGGGATTGCTTTGTAGCGCTTCTTCAACTTGGCCTGATCTGCCGTCTCGGGGATCATGTCGCCAGTGTAGCTGAGGAAGACGTTCTTCTCTTCATCATAGCTTGCCTCACGTAGGCCTTGTTCATCGTGAATTGCCGGGGCCAAAATGGCAGGTCCGGCAGGGTGCTCGTTGATCAAGTGGTTTGAATTCTTCGCAGGCTCTTTGCTCTTGTCGTTCTTCATGCACTGCTCTGCCAAAATGGCTGATGGTGAAACTTCGTCCTCGGAGTCGCGCTCTTCTGCAATTGGTGATAGGCTCTTGTTCTTCTCGCTGTTCATGAGGTCGTAGGGCTCCTCGGACTTCTTCTGCTGTTCCTCATCGATGAAGTGAATCTTCCTGGAAGGAACAGAATTACGTAGTTCATCTTCTTCTCCATTCTCGCAAGCCAAATGATCACAACCAACATCATGATCTTGGCTCTTCATTGGGCCTTTGTCTCGTTCATGTCCACGATTGTAATCACACCGGTCATCCTCTGCCGCCGTCTGGGAATGGAAGCAGTGTCTGACCCGTGGTTGCACGTCAGGCCAAACTTTCGAAGTGATCTCGGTGATCTTCTGGAAGAAAGCAATGGCCTCGTGCTTCGAAGCTCTTGGAACCTTCTCGTTCTGAACGTTGTCACAAGGCAGGATGTAGTGTCCAGAATCTGTGAGCAGGATCCTAAAGAACTTCACGTGATTGACCTCGGCATCCATGGCGTCCTTGGTGTTCAGAACAAGCATGCCATCACCATTCTCGAACCAATCTGTCAAGATTGATGCACCCAATCGACGAAGAGTCGGGTTGCCAACCAGTGCTGGGCATAGGCTTCCAGCTCCACCAATGACCTCCGCCGTGTAGGTGATGGGTTGTCCTGCGGTCGCCATGGTCAACGTGACCTCTCCGAGAGTTGACTCGCTGTTTCCTGAAATGCCGGAAACTGGAGTGATCTTGTTGCGGTTGATCTCCATCTCGCCCATGGAGCAACTCTTGAGCATTCTGAGGGTCTCGCTGCCAACCAGCCCGGATGCAGCTCCGAGATCGATGAGCAAACCATAGCGTTCCTGCCCATGGATGGTGTGGTAGCTCATCTGTGTCTCTTCTTTCTTCATGTTGAAGACCATGAAGTTCATCTTGAGCTTCTTGTCATAGCGATCCTTCGTAGTATACTCAGGCTGACCTGAATATCCGTCCGTTGGCTTCTTGAAGTCCTCATCCTCGGATGACGTGTGGATCACGAAGCTCTCGGCCCTCTTGGTCGTCTTGACCTCCTTGGGGCTTGTGGCAACTTCTTGCGGAGTTGAGGCATCGGGAATGCCTTCACTGATCGACAGACCACCACGAGGCTTGTAGTTGTCCTCCTCCTGGTAGGCGTAGTAGTGGCCTTTTCGACCAAAGCCTTTTCCTTTTCCTTTGCCTTTGCTTCTCCAAGGATACTTGCTCTTGCCTTTGCTCTTTCCTTTGAAGTCGGGTCGCCATCTCCAGAAGCCTTTTGACTTTCCTTTTCCTTTGTAGTTGTGACTGCCCTTCTTGTTCTTGCCCTTGCCAAGTGGACAGTCTCGAACTCTGTGGAACTTGCTGCCACAGTTGAAGCAGCCCTCATCACTGCCATTGCCTTTTCCTTTGTAGTAGGCTTCGTTGTACTCGCCCGAGACATTGGAGTCGCTTGCTGAACCAGATGTCATGCCAGCCTCAAGGTCAACCTCTTGCCATGACTCATCGCTGGCATCATGGTTCTCATAGTAGGTCTCGTCGTTGGCGTACTCCTCATAGACCCATTCACCTTCATCGGCCTCTTCATAGCCATACCACCATGAATCCTCGGCCTCATAGTCATCGCCCCAGTCCTGGTAGTAGGCGTCGTAGTCGCCATAGGACTCATCGTTCTCTTCAAAGAGGATCTGGGCGTCATCAGGGTCTCGCCGATTAGGGTTGATGCGCAATGCCAAAGCTCGAGCGTCGTTGAAGCGAGTGTAGTCGCCAGCAACCTGCAGTTTGATGTCATCAACCGTCTTGGCCGACATCGTTCAGCTGCAGTCCAGCTCTTCCATGAGCATCATCGTACCGGCTGTCGAATTCGACGCTGTATTCGGACAGGCTGAGCTTTCCTCTTGCAAGGCCAAAGAACTTGTCCAGGGCTTGTGTCGCCAGATCTTGGTCTTGCTGACCGAATGCCGTGCGGAGTGCGTTGGCCAGGAATTGCACTCCTGAAGGGATGTGGTTCTGGATGATCACATTGGTCGCTGGGTCGCGGACTTCATCCACAGCTAGTCGAACCAGCGCTGCATCGCCGACATCGAAGGTGCCGTCTGGCCTTGGCACTCTCAAAGACATGGCGATCGTGGATGCTCGACCATAGAGTCGTCCAGCCACCAGTGGACCGATGGCTTCATCCTCCACATTGGCAATCCGGTACCAGAGCTTCAGCTTGTCGAAGTAGGTCCTCAAGGGATACGAAGCATCACCTGGAATCCAGCCCGGCGGAATGTCCCGCCGATACTCCTGGAGCGGAATGCTCCCAGAGCTTGGTGGATTCATGGTCCAGCAATGTTGTAATCGATGGAGTCCACGGGGCCTGTGATGAGGTTCTCAAGGATGTAGTATTTATTCCTCTTGGGTTCAACCCCAAGTGAGGTAGTTTTCTGTGTTGTTTGTTCCTCTTGGGTTCAACCCCAAGTGAAGTAGTTTTCTGTGTCCTCGTCAGAGCCTTCTGACTTCCTCTTGCCACCGATCGAGCAGGATCTCGATCTCCTCCTCCAAAGGCCCTGCAGACCAGAGCCTACCGCGCAACTCGCGGTAGCAGCCAAGCCGAGCGCCAGCAGCCTATGGCGGCGCTGGAAGGATCGGCAACGGAGCACTAGGCTCCGCTACCAAACTCGACAGATTTGTGCCCAAGGCGCCTGCGGTAACGTGTCATGTGAAACAGTTCTACATTTGATCATAGCCATAAGGCCGTGAGGCATGAACTCAGAATTTCACTCGTTCTATATGTTTGAATGTTACTTTCCTGAAAGATTTTGAAGACAGGGTTGTACTTTAGATGATGTTTGTTTGATTGATGAGTTGGATACAATTGTGGGGAAATATGGGCAATTGAATTGGATCCTCAAACTACTTATGCCTGGCGCTGTTGCCTGCACCTCCTTCTGGTGACCAAGCACTTCAGCTGGGCTAATTGGGCTGAGGAGAATGTGCCCGTGGAAGTTCGGTTGCTTTGTATTGTTGAACAGCTGTTTTGCAATCCTTGGGTGGTATGAAAGGCCCAAGCAAATGGCGTCAGTGTGAGACGCGAAGGGCTGACTGGGGTGCAAAGAGTGTGGCAGTTGAAGTTCTTGAGAAAATACAAAGTATGAACACAGTGACGGATATACAATTGCAGCTTTTGGCCAACTTCTCCCGATACTTAGCCCGATTTGCATTTTCAAAAACCTGCACAAAAGCAAGTAAATTGTTTGAAGGTCTTGGGCAACTAAACTTCAGTTCGAACATTCTGCCAGCCTGGCCTTGGTCCCCAACAAGATGTGAAACCAATGAACATGAATCTATACTTTAGTCCATGCTCTGCATCGCCTTCTAGCCACAGGCTGAGCAGGAGAGCTTGGAGCTGAGCAGAAGCCTGTCGCGACTTCAACTTATAGATCTTATAAACGTCTGTCCTTCGTGCAAAATCCACTTTGGTCCTCTGGGAGGGCGGTGTTTTCTTTTGCTACGGTGCCCAAGATCGCGGAGCAGCAAAAACTGCTGCAAAGGGAATGTCAGGAGGCGGGCTTGGGTATGAGTGTGCCAGTGGAAGTTCATCTGTGGTATAATTTACTGTCAAACGCGTGTCTTGTTCAGAGCGGCATGGGATTCACAGTGCAAACATGAGAGACGTTGCGTGAAGGCGGCGGAGAAACCAGAACCTCCGTTTGGTCACCAGGCACGTCAGCTGGGCCAATTAGGATGCAGAAAGTGTGTCAGCGAAATTCCCGTTGTTGTTCTATTTTTTCTCATATTCCTGTCGCAACTCCAGGAAAAAGGGCTACAAACTACAAACACAGTGGGTGGTGTGAAAAAAATTGTGGGGAAGGACATGCTTGCAGGATGCGTTGGACGAGGATGAAGGCCTGGAGATCCTGTCAAACATGACAGCACCGCGGCTCCGTGCTCTACAAAATGGCACCTCCCAAAAAAATCAACCAATCCGAGGGAAAAAAGGGAACCGAACAACCCTTACTCCGTTGTATGCCGTAATCCGTGCCCAAGTCCCAAAGCAGGCGCTCGCAGTTCTAATCCGCAATCCGCACCAAACCGGGCGATCCAATAGTCCGTAATCGGTAACACCCCTTGCGATCAGGATTGCGTTTGATGGGGCCAGGCCAGGCCAGGCCAGGCCAAGCCTAAAAAACGGTTATGGAAAAGTCTCCGAAGTGCGGCGCGCCTCGTCATTCTGTAGTAAGCGTGCGCGCGTGGTTTGTCTGTAGAAATTTGATAACTATTATCCCCCGGGCGGGTCAAAAATGTAACTTACAATTTTGGGCGTGTCAGTGCAGGTTTCCAAGTCCAAGCACCTGACCTTTTGCACCTCGCAGGTGTCTGGGGAGGATCACACCACTTTGGAGCTCCGGAGAACCTCCAACAATGGGTCCCCCGGTCCCCCCTTTCCGTTCTTTTGGGACCTAAAAACGATCCCCCTTGAAGAAAGACCCTTCGGTTGTGGAAATTTAAACATACAGGTCTCAAAAAACCTCCATCTAACAAAACAGTGGTCAAAATTGTAAGTTACACTAGTGACCCTCATGTGCATTCAAAAATTGTAAGACATATTTGAGGGTGAGCAAGTTACAATTTTGACCCCGCCGCGGGGGTCAAGCACCGCAAGGGGGTAGTGATGAGACTTGACTATCTACAAAAATAGCCTCGTCCTTTTGGGAAACGTATCTCTATACTCTAGAACATCACATGGCCCTTTGACTACTGATACTCTTTGGTCCAGACATCTACACATTTGATCAAATTGCCATTTTGGCGTTGAGACGGAACATTTGGTATGTACAAACAGGTTTATTAACTTCTGTAAAATGGCACCCCGGAAAAAATACTGAATGAGTGAGGTGCACGGATTTGTCAAGGCACGATTTTGTGATGGGACCTTTTTGAATTTAACTGCGCAGCCAACTTCGTCTAATGTTAGTGATCACCGCCCGCTTCCTGGATTTGCCTGTGCCTGCACACAAAATTTGTACCAGAACAAGCGAAAAATTTAACAAACAACCGAAAAATTGCATAAATTTCACACATGCGCCCCTCATTAAGTATCCATTTGATCTTCGTGCTCGGCGGGCGGTGGGACCTTGGCACTGTCACCGCGTTGGCTTTGAAAAAATTTTGTAGTGGCTGCGTTCGGGCCTCTGGTTTACTGAGTGTGGGCATGAGCACAGAAAACGAAGTGCACAAGCCAACATGATTTCATTCGAGCAGGCTGAGGTTGAGTCCTTTATGCCGGCAGCAACTCACTTGCAGCCGCTGCGGCCAACTTGCGCGCACAGGCTCCGTTAGGTCGTCCTCAGGTTGATTTCTTGCGGATCGGGGTGGCTTTTCCTGCTCCTGGTCTTGCCCCCCCGCTCCCCGCTTGGCTAACGACAAACATTTTACAATGGAGTGCCATTTCAAATTCGTTTGGGATTACTTTCTAGTTACTCCTCTCCGAGTTTTGCTCCTGGGCGCCCCACAAAAGATATGCGACCTTACTTTGCAAAAAACATCACCTCCAAACTTTGCACTCGATTGAGCCGGCTTTTTGCGCACAAAAGATACGCCGTATGCTACGATGAACATTTTTCTAAACTGTTTATCAAGTTTTGCCCCCAGACAATTCACAATGTTTGCCGATGCCACGGTCGAGATCGTTGGAGTGGTTTCCTCTTCCAATTTTTTCCGCGGGCGGTCACAAAAAGGGCACCTTCTTCCTCCAAGTGCGAATATAGAGCTGTTGTGTCTTCACCTGTCTGCGATTGCCTGTGCCGGCATCGAAGACCTGAATCCTTGAACAACCTGACACCATGAAGATCCGCATTTGGTCGTATCTTCGTGGCAAACACCGCATCCTTAAACAGTTGGGGGGCGTTATGTGCCGGTGCAGCCATTATCATTATATATCAAGGCTTCCAAGGCTTCCAACATGCACGTGTACAAGCGAGTCGTTGTCTGCGTGTACAAGCGAGTGCTATGCCCTGCTGGTGGTGGTCCAGTGGTGACGGTGTTGGAGCGCTTCCCGGCATTTGAACCAGCCCCTATGTAGAATTCATCCAATGGAGAGAGGACTTTGAAATGAAGAAAATAGGTTTGTGAAGGTGTCCAACTATCGCTGACGATGCGTGACGCTGCCTGACGCTGCGTGGCTCTGCATGACGCTGCGTGACGCTGCGTGACGATGCGTGACGCTGCGTGACGCTGCGTGACGATGCGCGCCGACGCGTGAGAATGATTTTTAGTGTGGGCGAGAGTGAGTGTGAGTGAGAGTGAGTGTGAGTGAGAGTGAAGGTGCGTGAGTGAGCGCGGGCGGGAGTGGGAGTGAGTGAGAGTGGGAGTGAGTGAGAGTGAGAGTGAGAGTGGAGTGAGAGTGAGAGTGAGAGTGAGAGTGAGAGTGAGAGTGAGAATGAGAGTGAGAGTGAGAGTGAGAGTGAGAGTGAAAGTGAGAGTGAGAGTGAGAGTGAGAGTGAGAGTGAGAGTGAGAGTGAGAGTGAGAGTGAGAGCGAGTGAGTGCGATTTTGAGTGTAAGTGAGTGTGGAGTGTGAGTGTGGAGTGTGAGTGTGAGTGTGAATGAGAGTGAGAGTGGGAGAGTGAGAGTGAGAGTGGGAGAGTGAGTGAGAGTGGGAGCGTGTGTGTGAGTGAGAGTTGTTCTTTCTTCTCTTGCTTTGAAAGCCGTAAAGATTGATGCAATACGTTCTGCATGCGTCTTCATGCGTCTTCGTACCTCTGCATGCGTCTTCATGCGTCTTCATGCGTCTTCGTCGATAGTTGGGACCCCTCTATCGCCAACAAT